CTTCTTGCCGGCATGATCGGCGTAGTCGGTGTCGTACTCTGAGTAGTTGGAGCGAGCAGCAGCCTTGTCACCGGCGTCACCGGAAGAGACATCAACGGCGGCGGCCTTCTTACCCTTGCCCTTCTTGCCCTTCTTGCCCTTCTTGCCCTTCTTCTTGCCCTTCTTCTTACCGGCCTTGGCTGCATGATCGGCGTAGTCGGTGTCGTACTCGGAAAGGTCGGAGCTTGAGCCGGACTTTTTCTTGTCCTTCTTGCCCTTGCCCTTCGTACCCTTCTTGCCGGCATGATCGGCGTAGTCGGTGTCGTACTCTGAGTAGTTGGAGCGAGCAGCAGCCTTGTCACCGGCGTCACCGGAAGAGACATCAACGGCGGCGGCCTTCTTACCCTTGCCCTTCTTGCCCTTCTTGCCCTTCTTGCCCTTCTTCTTGCCCTTCTTCTTACCGGCCTTGGCAGCATGGTCGGCGTAGTCGGTGTCGTACTCGGAAAGGTCGGAGCTTGAGCCGGACTTCTTCTTGTCCTTCCTGCCCTTCTTGCCCTTCTTACCCTTCTTCTTGCCCTTCTTCTTGCCGGCCTTGGAAGCATGGTCGGCGTAGTCGGTGTCGTACTCAGAGTAGTTGGAGCGAGCAGCAGCCTTGTCACCGGCATCGCCAGAAGAGACATCAACGGCGGCGGCCTTCTTGCCCTTGCCCTTCTTGCCCTTCTTACCCTTCTTCTTGCCCTTCTTCTTACCGGCCTTGGCTGCATGATCGGCGTAGTCGGTGTCGTACTCGGAAAGGTCGGAGCTTGAGCCGGACTTCTTCTTGCCCTTGCCCTTCTTGCCCTTGCCTGTCTTAAAGACGACATCGTTGTCATACGACGACAAATTTCGAGTGTAGTTCGCGTAGTCGGTGCCGTACTCGGATGCTGATCCACTGCGCTTGCCCTTGGCCTTCTTCTTGCCCTTGCCTTCCTTCTTCCCGTAGTTGCCGACATGCTCGTGGTTGACGTAGTCGGTGCCATACTCCGAGCCGTACGACGACGGGCCGTTGAACGAAGCGTAGTCCTTGTCGTACTCGGAGCCGTGCTCGGACTTGTGGTACACGTAGTCGTTATCATACGACGAAAAGCCGGGGCGGACAAGGTGATGAGCGTGATCGGTGTCGTACTCAGAGCCCGAACCCGAGCCCGACGAGTGGCCGGGCGCCCCAGCATGGTCTTTGGTGTCACCCGAGGAGACATCGACGGCTCCGGCCTTCTTGCCCTTGCCCTTTTTGCCCTTTTTGCCCTTTTTGCCCTTGCCCTTCTTGCCCTTCTTACCCTTCTTCTTGCCCTTCTTCTTACCGGCCTTGGCTGCATGATCGGCGTAGTCGGTGTCGTACTCGGAAAGGTCGGAGCTTGAGCCGGACTTCTTCTTGTCCTTGCCCTTCTTGCCCTTGCCTGTCCTTCTTCTTGCCCTTCTTCTTGCCGGCCTTGGAAGCATGGTCGGCGTAGTCGGTGTCGTACTCAGAGTAGTTGGAGCGAGCAGCAGCCTTGTCACCGGCATCACCGGAAGAGACATCAACGGCGGCGGCCTTCTTACCCTTGCCCTTCTTGCCCTTCTTGCCCTTCTTACCCTTCTTCTTGCCCTTCTTCTTGCCGGCCTTGGCAGCATGGTCGGCGTAGTCGGTGTCGTACTCGGAAAGGTCGGAGCTTGAGCCGGACTTCTTCTTGTCCTTCCTGCCCTTCTTGCCCTTCTTACCCTTCTTCTTGCCCTTCTTCTTGCCGGCCTTGGAAGCATGGTCGGCGTAGTCGGTGTCGTACTCAGAGTAGTTGGAGCGAGCAGCAGCCTTGTCACCGGCATCACCGGAAGAGACATCAACGGCGGCGGCCTTCTTACCCTTGCCCTTCTTGCCCTTCTTGCCCTTCTTACCCTTCTTCTTGCCCTTCTTCTTGCCGGCCTTGGCAGCATGGTCGGCGTAGTCGGTGTCGTACTCGGAAAGGTCGGAGCTTGAGCCGGACTTCTTCTTGCCCTTCTTGCCCTTCTTGCCCTTCTTACCCTTCTTCTTGCCCTTCTTCTTGCCGGCCTTGGAAGCATGGTCGGCGTAGTCGGTGTCGTACTCTGAGTAGTTGGAGCGAGCAGCAGCCTTGTCGCCAGCGTCACCGGAAGAGACATCAACGGCGGCAGCCTTCTTACCCTTGCCGCGCTTCTTCTTGCCCTTGGCCTTTCCCTCATGGTCGGCATAGTCGGTGTCATACTCGGAGAACGAGAACGACTTGGCGCCCTTGTCACCATCACTGGCTGTGTCCGGCACGTCGACCCGCGACGCTTTCTTGCGCGACGACGACGACGTAACCTTCTCATCGGATTCGGACGACGACGGCGAGCGCGACGGCGAGCGCGACGGCGAGCGCGACGACGACGATGACGAAGAAGACGAAGACAACGAAACAGGGCACGAAGACGATGACGAGTACGCATTGAGCTTGACCTTGGTGGTTCCAGCGCCACGCTTAAAGTCGGTGTAGTCGGTGGCAATGTCCATGTCCATGTCCGAGTACCGCTCCCACGTGTAGGGATGGCGGTACCCGTCCCGGACGCCCCCACGACGTGACATCTGCACCCTCCAATGCCACCCCCATCCTCACACGTCAGTCTTCCTGTCCTCCACCAACCATGTTCCCCAAAGAGAGTGCGAGCATGCAAGCGAGAGAGCGCAGCGCGCCCACGCTGGCAAGCCGCCAACTTCACCGCCTGCTCGACACCACCCACCACAGCGCCCACCTCCACCCCAGCCCCCCCTCAAGCAAGCCCATTCCCATCCAGCCCATCTCCATCACGTTTTCTTCCATTACCCACAACCCGCTATCCCCTGCCTCCCTCCATGTCCACACTAGCCCCCGGGCCATGGCGGGCGACCCACCCCGAACCACTCCGGAAGTCAACGAACAATGCACAGGTAAACGAGTGGTGTGGCTGGAATGGCTCAAAATTTGTAAGTAACATGACAGCCGCCACCACCATACTTTGCCCATCAGACCTGACAGACTCGCCAACCGAACCGAGCCGACGGACGAGCCGAACTGCCTGACACAGCCGGCCACACCATCATCATCTATGTCTTTCGCCTCATCTTATCTGCCTTTGCAATCGCCACTGCCACTACAGTTCGGTATACATACACTATCAACACCATCCCGATCCTCTGATCCCCCCCCCCCCCCCCCCCCCCTCCCCGGACGTTGAACCCGCCTCGGGCACAACCGCCTGCGCCTCTAGCCCCTGGCACCGGGTCACTCGCAGTCACTCGCTCACTAGCAATAGTGGCAGTTGGTGGTAGTGATGATCACCCACACCACTACAGATGCCAGGGACACGGACTGGGGGTGGGAGTGGCTCGCTGGCCCGGCTACGGGCACAAGTTGCCATGCTCCGGGCGCAGGTCGAGGAGGGCGAAGAGGCCCGGGCCGTCGTCGAAGTCGCCCGTGACGCCTACAAGCTGCAGGTCTCTGAGCTGGAAGCCCAGCTGGCTGACGCCACGCTGTCCATCTCGCGCCTGGAGCGCGAGGTCCGAGACGGTTCGCGGAAGCTCCACTCGGAGTTGACTCGTGAGCAGGCTGCGCTTGCTCAGCGCTCGGAGCTGGCCTCGATGAAGGACGCACAGATCCGTGCGCTGCGGGCACAGGTTGCCGAGCTCGACGCGCTCTCGGTAACCCATGACGAGGTCATGACTCTGGGCGATGAGCTCTCGCTCGACGCCTCCATGTCTGACTTTTCTGCCTTTTCGCTCCTCGCCCCATCCGAGAGTGGCGGCGATGACGGCCTCTCGCGCTCTGAGCTCCGGGTCAAGCTCGCAGAGCTGCGCCGGGCGCTCAAAGTCTCCCGCCGTCGGACTTCCGAGCTAGCCGAGGCCAACACCTCGCTGACCGACCAGCTGATGCGGGCCCAGGAGTTCTCACGCATCACCGCTGTCCAGAATAGGGCACTGCGCAAGCAAATGGGACTCGCCCCGGCCGACGACGAGGAGGGCTACATCTCCGACTACTCGCGCTCATCCATGGCCCACACTCTCATCCGCGAGAACAAGGCCCTGCGCGACGAAATGGCCGCCGCCCACGAACACAATTCGGTCCTGGTAGCCAAGATCAAGGAGCAGACCCACACCGCCGAGCTCCGCGACCGCGCTGCCGCCCAACAAGCTCGCAATCTCGCTGCCGCCCGCTCGCGCTTTGATGCCGAGAAGCGGAACCTCGAGCTCCAGCAGGAGGTCCGCGACCTCCGCCTCAAGCTTGAGCGCGTCGAGGCCGAGGCCGAGGCTGCCGCCGTCGAGGACGTTCAGGCTGTCGCTGCCACTGAGGCTCGCGTCAAAGCCAAGTATCGCACTGCTCTCGTCAAGGCCAAGAAGCGGCTCTTCCTCTACCGCCGTAAGATCTCCCAGCTCGAGGCCATCATCGCCCGCCTCCGCAAGGAGCTCACAGATTTCAAGGGCACCGTCCGTAACCTCAAGGCCTACATTCTCCGCACATAGCCTCACCATGAACCCATACCTACCTCCGATCGATCCCCCAGCTCGCCGCGACGCCCGACCAAAAACCAGCCACGAGCTAGCGACTACCTCCCCGGACAGCTAGCGTCCTTGGCCGCAGCCACAGCCACTGCACTACGCAGCTCCCCCAAACCCGCCCGCCCACCTCACCCCAACCCACCCCACCTCACCTCACTCTACACTCCACAATGGACAAACCATCCCTCAAGCGCAAGCGGTCGCTGTCAGACGCACCGCCGTCACCCTCGGGCGCCTGGTCGCGGCACACGTCGCAGACACACGGCGAGGACTACTGGTTCAACAGCAAGACGGGCAAGCAGATCTGGGTTCGCGAGCTGGTGGCAAAGCGGGAGAAGCAGGAAGCTTCCGAGGCCGGCCTGGGCGTGAAGCGCCACAAGGGACTGTCGCCAGCCACCGCCATGGGTGCCGGCCCGCTAGCAGGCGCTGCCCCGGTTACAAACTCGACGCACATGGGCTCGGCGTCGTCGCTGGCGTCGGGCGCGGCGGCAGCAGCGTCAACCCCGGTGGCGCCACCGAGTGGCGCTAGTGTGGGCGAGTTCGGCAGCGCGACGGCAGACGAGGGGGCAGGGCCGTCGGGCGAGGGAGCTCGGTCGTACGAGGAGATTCTGCAGATCAACACGACGTGGCTCCCGCACTGCACGCCGCGCAACGTGACGGACAAGTTCCTCGAGTTCTTTGCGCCGCTTCACATCCTCACGCTCCGGCAGCGGGTCTCCGAGTACCACATCAAGGTGGAACTCGGCGGCGACGAGTCGCTGGCCGAGGGCATGCTCTATCCGCCGGACTGCCCGCATGTGGCTGTCATGCGCCAGCAGCGGACCAAGATGCTCCGCAACGACATCAAGCAGCTGTGCGTGGCCGAGGGTGGCCTCTCCAAGGAGCCGGCGATGTGCTACGACCGGTGGATGTTTGTGCAAAAGCTGCTGGAGGATCCAGGCTTTGCCAAGGACCCAGTCCTGCCCAACACAGCCATCTTTGATGTCAACCTCGTCAAGGAGCTCATGGCTGCCGGCATGAACTACGACGTGGCGCGATCGATTGTGGACCAGTTTGTGGGCGCGGTGGCCAAGACCGTCGACACCATTGCTGCTGAGCCGCGCTGTGAGATGGGCGGCCGCTGCACGGCAGGTACGCAGGGTATCCACACCCGCGGAATGCAGACGACAACGTACCAGGACGGCGAGGAGATTACGGTGGCGGCATCCGAGGTCTCGTGGAACCAGAGCAAGTTTCTGGTCGAGTTTGAAAAGTACAACGAGCTGCTGGCTCGGTACAAGCGGGCGAACGAGGGGCAGGTCGACGAGAGCGGCGAGCCGATCCCGTTTTCGATGGAAACCTTTCTGTGGCACTTCTTCATTCTGCTTGTCCGCTATGAAGCGCTCGGCGCCGGCTCGTACCAGGCGGCGCTCCCGCGCTCAGCCTTTGGTGTTCTCCAGCGGCGGCTGGGCGTGACGACCGAGTGCTTTGCCTCGCCGCTCAATGCCACCCTCGAGCAGTACCACTCGGCGTACTACGACACAGATATTGCGTTTGGCTCGTTTGGCTCGTTCTTTGACTCGTACCCGGAAGAGGGCTCGTTTGAGGCGAACCCGCCGTTTGTGGAGGAGACCATGAAGGCTATGATCGAGCACCTTGACGATCTCTTCTCGCGCTCAGCCAAGCCGCTCTCGTTTGTGGTCATCATCCCGGCGTGGCGCGACGCCGACGCGTGGCGCATGCTTGCCGAGTCGCCGTACATGCGCCGCATGTTTGAGATGCCCAAGCGCGGCCACCGCTACGTCGTCGGCCGCCAGCACATTGTCCGCCGCAACAAGACTCGCGACTTTGTAGCCCCGTTTGGCACCGGCGTCTTTGTCCTGCAGAACGATGCGGGCGCTGGCCGCTGGCCGGCCGATGACGCTTTCCAGAAGGAGTTCTTCCACGCCTTTGCCAACGGATAGGCGTTGTTTGCCGGTCAAGGCGGGCCAGGCTTGCCCCTACTGGACTGCGGCATTTACTTCTTGCGGCGCTTGCGCGAGCGGGTGACCCGCGGGGCCTCCTCGGCGACGGCGTCCTCCTCGGCGGCGGCGTCCTCCTCGGCGGCGGCGTCCTCCTCGGCGGCGGCGGCGTCGTCATCGGCGGTCTTGCCCTTGGACTTGGCCTTGCCGGAGCGTGCGCGCTTCTTGCCGGTAGTTTGATCGGCCTCGGCCTCGGTCTCGGGCTCCTTGACCTTCTTAGCATCCTTGGTCGTCTTCGCCTTCTTGGCCTTCTTGGTCTCGGCAGACTCGGCGGGCTTGGACGACTTCTTCGCCTTGCTGCTGACGATCGAGTTGTCGGTGTCAAGATCTGCGATCCAGCCGATGGGGTTCTTGGCGCGGCGGTTGCTCTCAATTCGCTTGATCTCGGCTTCGGTGGGCTTGACGACGGCGTCGGACGACACATTCGTCTTGGCCTTGTAAACTGGAAGAGCGACCGAGTCGCGGGTCTTGATGTGCATGGACCGGAAGTTGTCCCAGCCACCAGGAACGATCTTGGCGGCAGCCTTTGCGGCCGCAACGGCGTTGGCCACCAGCTTGTCCTCGTCCCACGAGGCGTAGCCAATCTTCAGCGAGAAGCTCACGCCACGCGTGAGGTAGAGCTGGATGGAGGAAAAGGCGCGGGCGAGCGACTTGCGGACCGACGATCCCGGCTGCATATCCACCATGGTCGGCAGGCGCTTCTTGGTGTAGAACTTCTTGCCGAGCCGCTTAGGCAGCTGCTGCATGATGCGCGAGTCGGCGAGAAACATGTCGTACGAGGCCAAAAGCACACGCCTCGCCTCGTACGTGTACGTCATCTCGCCCAGACCGGCCACATCGATGACGTTGAGGTTGCCCTTGAGCCCGAGCTCCTCGGCAGTCTCACGGATCTTGTCCTCGTACGCCGACGCCGGGTCCTTGACAATGAAGCAGATGTCCGTATCCGCCTCCACCAGCGAGTGCGGGACAGGGAGCGAGTACGGGTTCGTCCGCGCCGCCACCGGCGGCCGATGCAGGCCGAGGGTGAGGTAGATGGGCGTCTCGTCGGCACCCAGCAGGCCCTCGACACCCTCCTTGTCTGCGATGCTCTTCTCCACAAACGCGATCAGCGCCTGCATGGCGTGCGCAGTCTGTTCTCCACATCCTCATCCCCATGTGAGTCCCCCCCCCCCCCCCCAGCCTGATTATTGGAAATTAAAATCAGTACAAGATATCCTGCCACCCCCCCCCCTCTATGCCCCCCCCCCCTCCCCTACTCCCCCCCTCCCCTACTCCCCTCCCTCCCCCCCTCCTCCTCTTCCCTCTTCCCTCTCCCCTTCCTTCTCACTATGAACACTCTCTCCGGATACGTACCCGCTTTGAGGAAAGCTTGGGCATGGCAAAGCGAATGAGTGAGATGCAGACTGGTGGGGTGCGGTTGGCCAGTGGTTGGCTGGTGCGAGCAGGGAGCACTGTCGGCCATTCGGCCATTCGGCTACTCGGCCATTCGGCTCCTCGGCCATCCGTCTTGCCTCTCCCTCCGTCCTTGTCCAGGACATCATCAGATGGCAAACATAGTGGGATGGTGGTCAAGTCAGTGACATCAATTGCATTCAGCCCCATCGCCGGTCTATGGCCGTGTGGTAGCCCAAAGGGGGGGGAGGCTACGGGGCGCGACGGAGCGGGCTGCCGCCGGTGCTGCGGATCTGGAGGCTGAGCGACGGCGGGACGGTGGCGGAGAGGCTCGCTGCGTCTGCTGATGGAGCGAGGGAGATGGCGAGCGTCTTGAGCGAGGGTGCGGCATGAGCCAATGATGCGATGGCGCTGGGCGTAAAGGTGAGGATGCCAGTGAGCTTGAGGTCGCGGAGGGCGCAGGCCTGTGCAGCAGGCGAGGCCGCCAGGAGGGGGAGGATGGCATCAGTGACGCTTGGGAGCGAGGCAAGCGAGAGCGAGCGGAGCTTGGCCGAGGAGGCTTGGCCGATGATAGCACTGACGGCGTCATCGTCGAGAGCAACGCATCGGGCGAGGTCCAACCGGACCAGCGCCGGAAAGGCCGAGCCGAGAACGGTAGCGGCGGCATGACCAAGCTTGTCGCAGCCGGCAAGCGAGAGCTCTCTCAGTGAAGGCCCTAGAGTGCTGGCAAGCTGGGCCACGCCGCCTTCGGTGAGGTGCGAGACATCGCTGAGATTGAGCCGCTGCAGCGCCGGCGCGCCGGCGGCAATAAAGGCGAGCGCCTTGTCAGTCAAGTGCTGGCAGGCCGAGAGATTGAGATGGGTGAGCGCAGCACCGCCGCCGTCAGCGAGTAGCAGCTGCACGCCGCGATCTGTAACGGCGCGGCAGACCGAGGCAGTGAGCGAGGCCAACGACGGCGGGCCACCCCACGGCGCGGGCCACTGTGGCGACGGCCGCCACGCATGCTGTAGCGGCGAGAGCGGCGGGGCGATGAGGGTGCTGTCGGCTACCGACATCGCAGAGGTATCATCACCATAAACAGAGCCGAGCAGCAGGCCCATGTACCGGAACGATCGGTCGGTGGCGCCTGCAGGGTTGATGCGGATCTTGGGCGCGAGCCGGACCAGCCGCGGTACCGCAAAGTGCAGCGAGGTGTCGGTGAAGCGAGTATGCGAGAGCAATGCCGTCCACACAGCCTCCAGCTGCGGTGTGGCAATCAGAGCCTTGCGCCAGGCCCAGCAGACCCGCGAGGCCGGGACAAGGACGGACTCGGGCGGCGATGCGACGAGTACAATCCGCACAAGCAGCGAGGCGGGGAGCGCGTCCCAAGTGGAAGCAGGTGAGCGCGCAGCATCGTCAGGAGTTAGAGCGGGGGCATGATTAACAGCTGTTGGTGGCACCGGGGGGCTGTCGGCTGCGATGGAGGCGGGCGGCGGCGACAGCGGCAGCGGCGGCAGCGGGCGCTGGAGGCGGGCAATGCGACGAGAGGCGTCAGCTGGCGGGGGCGGAGGCGAATTTCCCAGCAACCGCGCAGTGTGCGAAGCGGCTGCCGCGTGTAGGCGCTCTGCGGCCACCGCAGCAGCTCGCTCGGCGTCGAGGGCGACGCGGAGGGTGTGGACCGAGGCGCGCAGGTCTGTGGCTTCGCGCTCTGCGGCGTCGCGCGCAGCGTGTGCAGCGGCCAGCTCGTCACGAAGAAGCTGCGTGGCGGCAGTAGCGGCAGCTTGAGTGGCAGCGGCGTCGGCTTGGGCGGCAGCAGCAGCGGCTTGGGCGGCAGCGGCATCAGTGCGAGCCGCTGCGAGAGCCTGAGTGAGGCCGGCGGCGGCAACCTCGTACTCGTCGAGCTCACTCTCGCAGCGGCGCAGCTCGTCGGTGAGGGCAGCGCATGCGGCGCATGGAGGGGGTGAGGATGAGGATATAGAGGACGACATGGGCGGGGGGAGGGAGGGGGGGGGGGAGTCCGGTGGTTGTGGGGAGAACTGGGCGGACAAAGCAGGGGGGGAGGGGGGGAGGGGAGTAGTGTGTGAGTGTTAGGGCAAAGGGCGTGGGCATCTAGCGTGATGACGACGAGGAGCGATCGTGATCGTGGACGCGGGAGGAGCGGCGACGGGGGCGGCCTGGGGTCCGCGACTCGCGACGACCGGAAGAGCCCTGGTTGTGCGAGGCGTTGGAGCCTGCGCGGCGGCGGGAGACTGAGGCGCGGCGGGCGCCCTTGCGCGAAGAGGCGCCTGGCGGATCGGCGCGCTTAGACGAGCGATTGTTGGTAAAGCGGGCCTTGCGCGAGGGGGTGCGCGAGTCGCGCGAGTCGCGCGAGTCGCGCGAGTCCGAGGAGGAGGAGCGGCGGGCGCGGCGCGAGGGGCCTGCAGCCGAGGCGGCGTCGACCTTGTAGATGGAGAGCTTGACCTTGGAGATTTCCTTGGTTTCGTGGTTGTAAGAGAGCTCGCGCAGGTCACGGTGGTCCTTGACGGCCTCGTAGACCTCTTGAGAGATGTAGACGTCGCCTCCAGTGGCGTGGTCTTCACACATTTTGGACGATGTGTTGACGGGGTCTCCCCAGTGGACGTTTGTCCCCTTGACGAGCAGCAAGGTGCCCGAGTGGACGCCAAAGCCGAGGATATGGATCTGATCGACCTCGGGCTTGTCCTCGTTGTACTCGTGGACGGCAGTCTGGATGGCGAGGACGGTGCGGACGGCGTCGGCCGGGGTGCGGAAGATCCAGAGGCCCTCCTCCTCCATGGTGCCGGCATTGGCCTTGACGAGCGGGCGGACGATGCGGTAGGCGGCGGACTTGACCTCGATGGTCTTTTGAACGCCTCCGAGCTCTGTGGTGCGGGCAAAATTGACACCGTACATGGCGACGGTCCACTCGGACTCGAAACGGTGGCGGAGGGCATCGTCGATATCTTCGCGCTCGGCGTCAGAGACCAAGAGGCGCCGGTTGATGCTTGCCGAGAAAAGTCCTTGTCCTTGTCCGACGACTTGGGCTTGCGCGGCGTGGTGAGGGCGTGCGATGGGAGCTTGTACGAGCCCTTGAACTTGGCGTACCCGGTGCAGTCGTAGTACGTCAGCGACTCGCCGGCGGGGAACGAAGTGTCCTTGGCACGGGTGAAGCGCACGGCCTTTTTGACGGCCTTGACCTTGGCGATGGCCCCGTGGATGTTGGCGTCGACAAGCATGTGCCGCTTCTCGCACAGCTCCTCGCCGAGCCAGAACGCCGAGTCACACGGGTCACCGTACAGTTTGCCGGTCCGCTGGTCTTGGATGAGGTTCTCGCCGTAGCCAACGCCGACGCCGCCCATGACGATCTTAAAGTCGTTGTTGGACTGGCGGTCGTTAAAGGTATCGAGGAGCGGAAGAATCTGCGCTGCCGCCGAGAACGCTGCCAACGGGTCTTCAAAGACCACCAGAAAGTTGTCGGCTTCGGTCTCGATGGTCACTGCGCCGTAGTGCTCAAAGAGCGGGATGAGGAGCCTGCGCATGGTGTAAATGAGCGAAGCAAAGTGGATGATGCCCATCTTGCGGGTGATACGGGTAAAGCCGGACATGTCAGTGACGAGCACGGCGTGCTTGCCTTTGTACTTGCGGATGTGGCGGTCGGGCTCAAAGGCGGAGCAGGCCGACGAGTCGGCCGAGCGCGACGAATGGGACGATGACGACGACGATGATGATGATGACGACGACGACGACGACGACGAGCCATCATTGCCCTTGCCCTTGCCCTTACGCTTACCCTTGCTCTTGCCCTTACGCTTGCCCTTGCGCTTGCCCTTGCCCGACGCCGAGCTTGCAGAGCGACTCGGGAGCAAGTCGCCCCAGCAAATGCGACCAAAGCGGTCGATGGGGTCACCGTCACGCATGCGGGGATCGTGGACAACGTACGAATGCAGCTTGACCTTGGAGACGGTCGGCGAGCGCTTTTCAAACTCGAGGTGCTTGAGCGACTTGACGTTTCGGATCTTGCGGTGAATGTCAAGGGTGATAAAGAGCTCGCCATCGGCGGCGACGTCCTCGCCAAGCTTGGACGAGGTGTTGAGCGGGTCGCCCCAGTGGACGTCCGAGCCGTCAACGAGGAGCATCTTGCCAAGGTGGATGCCAAAGCCCTTGAAGGGGACCTGCTCGTCAGGCCCATGGCTCTCGTTGATAAAGACAAAGAGAGCCTTGATGTCGAGGGTGGCGCGGACAGCGTCTTCGACACGGTCAAAGCGGAAGATGGTATCCTCGATGACCGAACCGTCATACTTTTTGAGGATGCGGGCCACCATGGTTGAGATGTTCATCATTTTGCCAAGCGAGTTCATGACGCCAAACTTTTCAGTCTCTTCGGCAAAGTCCAGGCCCATGACGACAACAGCGTAGTCGTGCATGTACTTTTCCTCGATGAGGGCGTCGAGGCGGGAGCGCTCGCGCTCGTTCTCGAGGCGGGCGAGCATGTGGTTGGTAAAGACGCCAAACTCGTCGGTGGCTTTGGCGGCGGCGGCGTTGGCAGCAGCAATGGCCTTGTCAGCCTTGAGCCTGCCGGAGAGCTTGCCCGAGACGACAAAGTGGACGCGGCCGTCGCCGCCGTCCTCGTCATCAATGCGGCGTTCGCCCTTGACTTTTGCAAACTGCGGCATGTCGCGGATGCGATCGTAAACCTCGTGGTCGACGCAGATGTCCGAGTCTGCGGCGACGTCCTCGCCGAGGCGAAAGGCCACGTCGCGGGCCTCGCCGAACAGCATGTGGTTCTTGCCGAGGATGGTGTCGCGGCCGAGGCCGATGCCGTAGCCGCCGATGATGGGCTGGAAATCCTTCTCAGCCACAGTGGCGGTGTACTCGTCCATCTTGGTCTTGGCCTCGATGGCGGCAGCCACGGCGTCCTCGGGCGTGGAGAAGAGGACCAAAAAGTTGTCGGCCTCGGTGAGGATGTACAGTGCGCCGTAGGCCTCGTAGATGGGCCTGCAGATGGCTCGCATCTTGAGGATGAGCGAGGCAAAGTGAATAATCCCGTACTTGCGCGTCAGCCGCGTGAAGCCCGACATGTCGGTGACCAGGACCGTGACCTCGGACTCGTACCGTGTGGCGATGGCGTCCTCGCGGTTGACCAAGTTTGCCAGCGTCTCCGAGTGCTTCAGCGGATGCCTGCCACTCGCCCCACCGCCATCATCTCTGTTTCTCGCCTGGCCCACTATGTCCGCGCACAAGCATACCACCCACCACCCACATCGTCCAACAGTGAGTCCAACTCCCTGGGTATGCAGGACAGAGGGCGGCGACGGAACCACAAGTGAACTGAGGCAGTGGGGGGGGGGGGGGGGGGTCGTGAGCAGCAGTGTGGCGGCGGCCGAGTCATCGCTGGGCAGGTACACCCGGCTCTGCGGCGAGGTGACAGATGCTGGGCGTGGTGCGAGCGATGGGCGGTACAGGCAGCATGCATTTGCTGCGGCATGTGGCGGCAGGTGGAGCCGGGTTGTCCCGACCGAACAGTGCGCTGGCATGGGCCCGTGCGGCCGGGTGCGGCGGCCGGGTGCTACCGCTGCCTGCCAACGCGTCAGTCAGCGTGCTCGACTCGCCGACGGCCTTCCACGCCCACCTGGTGACCAAGGCCAAGGCTGCCCGCACCCGCATTCTCCTTGGCACGCTGTATGTGGGTGGCGGTGAGAAGGAGGATGCGCTTCTCGCTGCTGCCGCAGAGGCTGCTGTGTCAGCCGCCGGGCCGCCTGCAACGCGACTGCGGCTGCGGGCCCACGTCGACTACCATCGCGGACAGAGGGCGCAGGAAGGCGGGAGCTCGGCAGAGATGCTGGCACGGCGGCTGCTGGCAGATGAGGTGAGAGAGGGAGCGGATGTGAGGGTGACGCTGTTTCGATCGCCGCGGCTGCCGCAGGCGCTGGCACCGGCGGTCCCGGCCAAGTACCGCGAGGCTGCGGGCGTCTCGCACCTCAAAGTCCTTGTCTTTGACGACGATGTGGTGCTGACGGGCGCCAATCTCTCGCACGACTACTTTACCAATAGGCAGGACCGCTACGTGGTGCTGAGCGGCGTGCCGGAGCTCGCAGACTGGTACGAGGAGGTGATGGATGCGGTGGCGGACGCCTCGCACCAGCTGGTGGCCGATGGCAGTCTCCGCCCGCCGTCGCGAGGCGCACAAGCGGCGGCACGGGCAGCGCTGCATGTGCTGGTGACAAATCCAGGGAGCAAGCGTGGCGATGTAGGGGCCGGAGCCGCGAGTGACGAGGAGACGGCAACGTGGCTGGTGCCGACGCTTCAGTTTGGCCCGTGGGGTCTTGATCACGACGCGCGGGTGGCGCTGGCGCTGTTGGGTGGCGGAATGTTGCGAGGCCGTGCACGGATTCAACTCGCGCTGGCGTACATGAACCTGACACCCGAGCTCGCGGACGCAGTGGTGGCGGCAGCCGGGCGTGGCGAGTGCGAGGGGGTGAGGGTGGTGACGGCGGCGCCCGAGGCGAACGGGTTTCACGGTGCGAGCGGGCTCCCGGGCTACGTCCCGTTTGTGTACTCGTGGCTGGCGAGCGAGTTCTACAGCAAGGCGCGACAGGCGCTGGCGCCGATGGGTGCCGATGACAAGCTAGTCATGTACGAGTACGCCGCGCCTGGGCAGACCTTTCACTGCAAGGGGTGTGGGTGAGCGAGGCCGGGCAGACAGCGACGCTGGTCGGCTCGACCAACTATGGCGCGCGATCGGCAGACAAGGACCTCGAGTCGCAGGTTGGCATCTTTACGACAGACCCCGAGGTAGCGGCGCGGCTCGAGGCTGAGGCTGAGACGCTGGTGGCGCGGGCGAGCCGAGTGAGCGAGGCTACGTACAGCGAGCCGCAGCGGGCGTGGCCGGGCTGGCTACCGGTGGTGGCGAAGCGAGTGAGCCAATTCTTCTGAGCGGCTCGCGCTACGAGGGTAGGATTGCGCGTTACGGGTACGAGTCGAGAGCGGTGCGGCCAGAGACAAGGCCGATGGCGTTGATGGACTCGGCCGACTTTGTCTGGCGGTACCACCACCACTCAAACGACTCGTACGAGCACTTGCCCTCGCCGGTCGGGTCCATGTCTGCGAGTGCAGCGTCGAGCTCGTTCTTGGAGAGCGGCTTACCAAGGGCGGTGGCAAGGTTCTGCAGGTCGTTGGCGTCGACGTAGCCGGAGCCGTCGACGTCGATGGCGGCAAAGGCGTCGCGGATTTCCTCGGATGAGGCCTTGTCGATGGAGCGGATGGGGATGCGTGCCGGGCCGCCAAACTCACCGGAGAACATGACGTCGACACGGCGGTACTCCTTCTCAATGCGGGCGTTGTCCCAGCCGAGCTCGTCGGCCATGATCTCGATGACGCGCGGGACGGCCTCGCGGGCGGCCTCGACGTTGAGAAAGGCGAGGCGGGTGCGGCGGGCTAGGACGTCGGTGGCGGAGCGGGCAAACTCGGCGCACGCGACGCGGACCTCGGACTCGAGGTAGGGATAGCCCGGGACGAGGCGCTTTCCAGAGAGCGGCCAGCGCTGGCCGGTGGGGTTGGTCTCTGCCGCCATACGGGCGACGTCAAACGACTCGGAGCCGTAGGTGCGGGCGAGGTGGACGGCGACGTCGCGCTCGATGCCGAACTTTTGGATGAGCTGGATGTGGAGGTTGGGCGTCCAGCCCTCTGCGCCGATGAGCTTGACGTTCTTGGAGATGGCGGTCTTCTTGCGGAGGCCCGAGACCTCGAGGGCCTTGTCAACGGCGTCCTGAGCCATCTCGCGGTAGGTGGTCCATTTGCCACCGCCAACGAGGACCATGCCGCCGGGTGAGACGGCGACGACGTGCTCGCGACGGATCTCCTGGGTGTCGGCAGCGGTGGGGTCGGAGACGAGTGGGCGGATGCCCTTCCATGCCGAGAGGACGTCGCGGCGGCGGACCTTGAGCTCGTCGGTCAGGTACCGCTGGACCTCGTTGAGGATCCACGAGACCTCTTCCTCGGTCGGCGCCGGGTTGCGGTCGACCGGGCATGGCGCGTCGGTTGTCCCGCAAACGGTGTGGCCGAGCCAAGGGAGGAAAAAGATGACGCGACCGTCCGAGGTCGACGGATCGATGAGGCCCATCGACGACGGGGCGTAGAACGAGGGCAGGATGATGTGGGTACCCGACGACGGCTGGACCATGGGCTCGACGTCTGGGTCCTCCATGCGGCGGACCGAGTCAATGAAAGGGCCTGCGGCGGCAATGACGACCTTGGCGCGGATCTCAAATGTCGACTGCGACTCGCGGTCTGTGGCCACGACGCCGGTAACCTTGCCGTCAGCGTCCTTCAGAATCTTCTCGGCGTCGACGTAGTTGCCGAGCGCGGCGCCCTTGGCGGCTGCAGTCAGCGCGATGGCGAGGTTCATGCGCGTGTCGTCGTTGACACCGTCGTAGTAAACCACGGCGCCCTTGAGGCCGTCAGCCTGAAGCATGGGAAACTGCTCCAGGGCGCGCCGCTTGGAGAGAAAGTACGACCGCTTGGGCGGGAGGCCGGCGACAAGATCGTAGGCCTTGACACCGGCGTACATGTAAGGCACCTTCCACCACGAGTAGAGCGGGAGCATGATAGGCAGCCAGCGCGAGATGTGGGGGGCGACGTTCATCCAGTGGCTCCGCTCCTTCAACGCCTCGCGGACCAGCTTGTACTGCCCGTAGTCTGCGTTCCAGAACGCCTTCTCCAGGTACCGAACGCCGCCATGGATGAGCTTGGTCGACTTGGAAGAGGTCGCGCAGCCAAAATCGCCGCGCTCCACAAGGGCCACCGAGTAGCCCCGGGTGATGGCATCGAGCGCCACGCCCACGCCCGTCGCCCCGCCGCCGATGACCAACATATCAAACTGCGACGTGTGCCGCAGCCGGTCAATCATCTCCTCCCGTGGCGGCACATCGGCCATCGACACGTGCGCGCCGACAGCAGCACTTGTGCTCTGTAAGGGAAGGAGCAAGCAAGCACACGAGTGAGTGATCGGGTGAGGCAGGCCACGGATGTGTGTGGGCTGTGAGTGGTAGCGCCCGCACGGCCGCACAGGCGACGGAGCCCGCATGGCGAGGCCACCCGTCACTACCGTCATCCTCATCCTCCTCCTCACCACCCCAACCCCAACCCCAACCCCAATCCCAATCCCAATCCCAATCCCTCGGGTCGTCCGTACCAGTGCCCGTCCCAGCCGGGCCCATGTCGCGCTGACCACGGCAGTGCTACGCAGCATGACAGCAAGGCCAGACAGCGATGGGACCACAACCGACCAGTACTGACACCCTCTTGTGCCGGTGTACCACTTGCTCTTTGCGGTAAAATGGGGTGGATCGCCCTTGCAAGAGCTCGAGTTGAGTCTCCTGGTCGCTGTCGCTGTCGCCGTCGTCTCCTTGTTCGCTGCGGTCGCTCCCGCTCTCCCCCACGTACCGCTCCCGCAAACCTCCGCCAAACAAACACCATCGCCACCCTAGG